TGATACCAACAATTAGGGGGGTAAATCTCAAAATAGAACAATCTATAATATTAAACAGGTGGTAGTTTAGTTTGATGCACTTTAGCCCAGAAATACTCTTACTGGAGATAAGAGAAAATGATAGTATAAGCGGTATCTATAAATAACATTGTTCCTTTCATATCCAGTACTCAAGTACCAGCACTTAATGTTTTATTTACCCAAAATAACATCACCAGCTAAATGCAAGCTTGCTGAGAGCACCGCAAGCTTTGGAAAACAGCAAAGTTCGCAGACAAATAAAACATAATTAAGAATAATTTTTTTAATGAGGAAGGAGAATTCTTCAAAAGAGTCCAGTGAGTAAGCTTATTGGAGTTGGGAAAGAGAAAAAAAAACCCTTCACAAAACAGACAAGGAGAAATTGGGATCAGATAGAAATGATTATTAGAGTTCTTCTGTATTGTATATTGTGTAAATTTTGCTAGGCATAATTTTAATATGTTTGAGCACACCTGGACACCAAGGCAGTGACTAACACTATTGGCAGCAGTTCTATTTCAGTCTTTTTGATTTTAGTTGTGTTTTTTTAAGACTGCTATACAATTCAGAGAATTAAGGTAGAATAACCTATTATTCAATGACTCTGTTCTCAGTGCATGCTTAATTGGCTCAAGGAGAGTTAATGTATTGTAGCAACACAGAGAAGAATCAACTACCCTACCCCTGTCTCCCCGAGTTAAATTTGCCTCAGAACTGACCCAACTAATTCCACCAAGTCAGTTGTGTTATAGAACACCTAAGTCCCATATTTTGACCCATTTTGTGCAAGTATTCAAAGAACAGAGCCTTTCCATTACAGAATTGCCTACCAAGTTTAGCCATACAGTATAGAACATTTGGCTTGCCTGGGCTACATTGAGTGAAGAAGAATTGTCTATATATACTATAGTTGATATATATAAATCACATAATATTTAAAGGTTATAATCTTGTGGGGCTGCATGATTAGCTGCCCAATGCCAGTTAGGCTGCTGGTTGGACATGCCTACTGTAGAAGAAAGCTCCCTCATTCTGATTGGATGAAAAAGGAAATGGGAAAAGGGTTAATAGCGTGAAACCTTGCTGGAACAGTAATGGGGCAGATGCTTCTGCAATCTATGGCATTTCTTGGAGAAAGTGAAGAGATTCTCAATTCCCCAAATTGTGATTTTTGAGCTAATTAATAGGACTGTGTGCTGCCAAAGTCATCAGTGACAGAGCAGTTAATGCCTTATTGCAGGGGTGTCAAACTGCCGGCCCATGGGCCGGTTACACGATGCAGAGGCTGTGCCCACCCCAGCTGCAGCAATGCAAAAAAAGTCACAACACATCACGTGATGCAGTGAGTTTGACACCTGTGCCTTATTGGGTTAAACATACTATGAGAAGAGATTAATGAAGTTTTCACCCATACTCTTAACATACCACATTTTTTAAAAAAATCAATCTGTATTATTGTTCTCCACTTCCTAGCATATGATTAGAAAGTTAAAAACATAAAACCTGAAACACATGACACCCAGGTAGCACACATATTCCCTGCAACAATCCCCTAAAATTGGGTTCACCTAGCTTCCTAGCTCAGTGTCTAGGGAAAGCTAAGCTTTTATCATTGGGCTTTGGGCCTTCTGAATTTTGGGATAAGGAGGGGTAAATTATTCCACTGGCAGACACAGCAACAGCAACAGAAGTTAAGCCTCCGAGATACCAGTAGATGTTATTGTTTAATTGAATGAACTTAGAACATGTCTGTCAGGTTTCATGGAATTGGCAGAAATAAATATAGATAGGCAGTCCTGCAAGTAGGTCCAGTCTTGTACTATGAAGATCTTGTAGGTGACCAACAGCACCTTGAACTGTACCCAAAAACATACTGGGAGCTACTGCAATTCAAAGTTGTGGTGCTACAAGAGCTTACTCAGGAGATGGTATTATATGAGTTTACTGCACCTGTTAATTACCAGAGCTACATTCTGAACCAGCTACAGTTTTTGACTAACTTTCAAAGGTAGCCCCATGTAGAGTGACAGTGTATATTTTGAATGTTCATAATAGTGTTATACCTTTACTGCCAGTTCTGATGTTCTCTGTATTTCTTTGCCTTTACTACTGGCTCCTAAAAGTGTGATGGATAGGCAAAACATAACAAGATTATGAAGATGATATTGATATAATGCAATCTGCCTTTATTATTATTTATTTATTTGTGTTCTTCTCATTTTAGTTCTTGAGGAAGTTGATCTACAAAAAGTACATATTTTGGGAGGGCTGGTGGATGAAAGCATTCAAAAGGTAAGTATATTGCACATATTATAATGATATTCTTGCAGAAATAGTTGTGTGGTATTTTAGTGGTGAACTGCAGGAACTTAACTCTTATCACATATTATTTTCCAGTGAGCAATTAGCTAATATGATTAAAATAGAGCTTCTGTGTTTGGAGGATAGGCATCATAAGCTTTTTAAAGAATCTAATAGCCAGATGTAGTTCATTTAAAAAAATGTCCAAAGAATCATTTCCTCCCTTCCCTTTTTTAGTGTATATAATTTGTTTTTGTAGAAACTCACTTTCCAAATTGCACAGGAAAGACATCTGCAGACAGCACGATTGCCTATTCAAGAGTACATGGTAAAGAACGTCAATGCAAAAAATTACCACTCAACAACCTTGGCCATCAACCAAGGTAAGTAATGCACACACCTGTTGACAGAATTCTCTGCCATCTATTTGCAGGCATTGTATTACCACCAGCTTTCCTATACAATTTATAGCTGGAATTAGCTGTTGCAAATTAACTCCTGATAACTTGCATGGATGGTGTTGGTCCATTTTTTTTAAAAATTACGCCTTTCTGACAATTCTTGTACAGTTGATTGGTGCACACTGGAATTCGGACTCTTGACAGTTCTCTACAGAATTGTTTTTCACTTTTGTTTATTGTACTTTTTAGGGCACAAAATGTCATATCATATGATGAACTATTCAAGAAATTGCTCCTCTTTAGGTTTAATTAGATATAGTCCTAACATAGGGGAGCTGTCTTATGAGATACTGTATGGGCAAATGGGCATTAAACAGTAGAGCCCTACCTGGAGCAAATAGGAGAGAGCCTTGAATGTAAAGAGTCATGCTGTATTAAAGACCACAAATCTTGCATACTCATTAATATATTTAAATTATTGTTGGAAAATAAGAGTCTAAAAAATACAGAGGATGGCTACTGTTTCTATAGAAGCTCTGTTATGCCATGATTGGATTCTATCCTTGTGATTTCATGACATTTTTATAATTATCCAATACATTTCTTTTAGTGTTTGATGCCTTATCAACTTTCTGTGATACCAAGAATTGGGAAGAGGCACTTAAAGTTGCAGTTTCTCCTGGAAAGGGATACATCTTCAAAGACACAAAGTGACAAAAGGATTCAGGATACTAATATGAGAAAACAAGATTTGGTCTGTTTTTGGTAACCACAACAGTCTCCTTTACCCAGTTGTATTCCAGATAATTTTGGACTACAATGATTACAATTTCCAGCTGTAAATTATGGGAGTTTGACTCCAACAGTACTGTATATAGACATGTGGGGAGAGTAAACAAGTCATTGATCTTCATTTCTGCTTACTGTACTTCTTGGGGAAAAGACTGGGTCTCTCATTGCTTATTCTTGGTGAATCTATTAGAAGGGTTAAAATATTGTTTGTTTTACATTACAATTAATTGCCCTTACTACTGATACGCTCTTTTTAAAAAACATGACATTTATGCTGGGAATTTTTGCTGAAAACAATCAACGAGTCTTTCATAATTAAATGAATGGGTAGCTTTTCCTGCACTCATAGGCAAGGGAGCTGGGGTTATGTCAATTTTTTAAAAAATAAATGCTTTATTCCTCTAATATCAGATTAAATCTCCTTGCCACCATTATTTACCCTTCCAAGCATAGTGGAGTTGACTAATTGTGTTATTACGGATGTTTTAAAATTGAGGATAGGAATGTTATAAAAGGCTCTAGAGTGCTAGTCTACAGAGGCACTCAGAACCAAGGCTACTATAGTAGAGCTTACTTCCTGCTAATTAACTAAATACAGAAGACCTTATGTATTTATTTATCGGATAAACAGATACAGCACTTCCATTTTCAGTGAGTACAAAATTTCAGCAATTGGGTGGAAAATACTGTTCAAAAGTTGTGTTCTGTTTTAAAGGGGAGCATCCCTTTAAAATAGAAAATAAAAGCAACTGGGTGAAGAAAAGCTGTTACCACCTGTAATAGACTGAAAACAACCCTGGGAGGAGGAAGGGCCATTATGTAGGCATCAGCACTTCTTCATGGTTTCCCAAGGTTATTCTCACATCCTATTATACCACTGCACTGCCTGTGATGCTTCACTGCCTATGACCCTTGGCATCTCAGACAAATTGGGTTGAAAGAGTGGGGGTGGCCCAAAGTTGCCAAGTGAACCTCCATGGCTTAGTTAAACAAGAATCTGGATTTTCTTGGTGTTAGTCCAGTATCTTATCAATCACACATCATTGGCTCTTTTTAAAAATGTATCTTTGTAACCTACTCCAGGTGCATTTATTTAAAACACCAGAAAGAAGAGTCCCAGACAAAAGACAGATATCTGTGGTACGGTTTCATTAACCTTGATCAACATGTCCACCAATTGGCACACACTAACACTGTAAGATAATATGTTCAGTAGATCTGTCCAGTTTGACCTACAGCGTTCTCTTTGAGCTGTTCTTAAGTAACGTTTATCCACAGCAGTTAACACTGAAAAGATCTTCAGAAAAGATTGATCTTTTGCCTTCTACACTTAGAGAGGAAAGAGAGAAAAAAAGTAAAATTGGATGTGAATCAACATGCTATCTATGACTTTTATGAGACTTATTCCCTTGACTTCATTCAAGCTTTCAGCATTAATATCCATTGACAAATGAAACCAAGCAATTGCCTCAGTTCCTTCAGCCATTCTTTTACACATCCCGTTTTTATTAGAATCTCCCAGGGTTATACATTTATCAAGCCAAGTCAGAAGGTCACAAAAATACGCAAGTTTTCAAAATAGCTAATTCTCTCTTTATAATGAATTCAACAAGAGTTGTACTGTTAGTGCAAAGAAAGGAGAAGCAGGAAGAGACAGCAAATCCATCTCATGTGCAGGATGAAGCTATGAACTGCTGTACAAGGCAGAAAAGGGAAGCAGTGAGGGCCGTATGTTGGCAGACACATAGTTTTAGGCTTAGGCTGGAGTAATCCTTCTCATGAGTTTGCCTACATGCCTCCAAAAACTGTTGATAGCTACACAAAACATCCCCCAGGTTGGTTTTAAGGTCTATGTGCCCATTACTGCAAAGGCCACAGTCTGTGAACTGTAGGCATACTTCTGTCAACTGAAGAAGGTTTTGGAAGGTCTTTTGAACTATCATTTGTGTCTCTGGAGAAGGCCCTGGTGCTTTGATAATCTTCTGGCAATTAGACAGCAATCTCTGTGATTCCGCATACAAGGCGTTCTTGTTTTCTGAAAAAAGGGCAGCACATTGATCCTCTGGATGTTTTCTTTGGTTTCCCGAAGGCCACTTTAGAACTTCCTGTAGCTCTACCACATCCCCTAACAAATGGCAGAAGTCGAATGGCGAGACAGACCATTTTTCTTTCATATAGCTCAGTGTTTTGATAGGTAATTCTGGAAGGTATCTGTGATTCTGAGAATCTCTGGGGGCCCCATTCGTATAAGTATGTTCTTGAAGGCGCCTGGTAGGATTAAAATCTGAAGGCAGTGGGTGTCTTGTTGAAGGTGGAGTTGTTAAGGGTCCTTCAGAAATGCTACTTGCAAAGGGTTTGGTGCAGTCCAATTCTGCTTCATTTTCTACCCCATGGAAACAACTGGCATAAGACAACTGGCAGCTGCATCTCTCTGGTTTATATTGAGGTGTAGATGTTTCCTCAGAATTCACTAAACCTGGTGGACCTGTATCACTGAATGCCACTGCACCCTCAGTTGCCTTGTCAGAGGACAGAAAGGATAGATCTGAAGTACAGTTTCCCTCACTGGGTCTGTCAAAGGAAGGGTAACTCTGTCCAGCTGAATTATTAGTTTCACTCTGTTCTGTGTTCTCTGAGGAAGCCATTAGCAAACTGTATCTCTTATTTTTATAATCTGTAATGAGAGCATCTCCCATGAGGTTTTTCCCCTCTGTTTTATAGTCACCAGCAACATCTGTAGATGGGCACAGATTATGAGACATATTCATGGCTGATAAGTGGGCTGGGACTTGATTTATCACCCCATCTTTTAAAGATAAATTATTAACACCCAGGCCATTTTGGCTAGTGATTCCCTGGCACTCCTTATCTGCTTGCTGACAGATTTGTGCATTTTCTGCTGCTGAACTGAAATTTGGCCAGCATATTTGGCCTGATGTATCACTGCAGTTGAAAAATAGTTCAGTTACATTTGAAACCCCCAGATGTTTCTCATCTCCCTTATTTGACAATTGGCTGATACCTTCTTCAAGCTTTAAGTCTCCGAGGGCCTGGCTGGATTCACACAAGACAGAATCTCTCTTGCAAGGATCTAACACAACTTGTTCCTGTTTCTCATCTTTCTCTGGGGCAAAAGACAAAGGTTTGTCTTGGATGCTGTTCTGAGACACTGAAGGTTTGGTGGTAGTGTGTATTATTTCCTCAATCAAAACATAACTGACTCCTGCTGGAGGCATAGCTTTGATTGTACTCGGTTTTTTATCAAGTGCTTGCTTTACGGAACAGTCTGCCTTTACTTCACAATGTCCCTGAACCCCTCTAGCTATTTCTGTAAGCTTTTCTGCTTTGCCTTTGCAAGTGGGATCAAGATCTTCCTGGTGAAAAGCAATTCCTGGTGTACTTAAATGGTGACTCTGATGGGGGGGCATAGAAAAAGAATTTAAAGAGTAATTGCTCAAGTCTAAACTTCCTCCACTTGCCTGAGCAGAGGCCAGGCACAAAACTGCATTGGGTCCTGATGAATTCTGCCCCATTTCTGTTGCGTCAGATGATGAGGTTGAATTTTGGACCACCTGGATTTTCTGTGTGGCTTCAAGAAGACTGGAAATTTGCTGGGGTTCCTTCAGTAAACTCTCAGCTGCAGATGCTCCTGAAACGGTAGCATCTCTATTGTAACAAACATCGGTTTCCGAGGCATAAGGTAAAGCTTTGGGGAAACTAACTTGGGAAGTATAATTTGTCTCGAGAAAGGACCTTCTTTTCCTCAAATTATTGGCACACGTTGGTGCTTTTTCTGGCCTGGGTTTCATCCTTCTGCTTTGCTTTGACAGGATGTTTTCATCCAAGCTGCTACAGGATGGCAACCCTGGGGAACGAGGTAGGGGTAGAATTTCAGAACCTAAGAATAAAGAAAAGCCCATCAATATAGAGAATTATTTTCATCTTATTTCAACAGTAGTTTGTGAAAAGATGTATGCTGCTGCTGCTATGTGTGAGTTATCTAAAGGTACACACACTATTCCTTTCTTTCGACAAGCTAAGAAACTATGGAAATGCCAGGAGTTATCTAATGTAGGAGTCCCCAACCCCCGATCCGTGGACCACTACTGGGCTGCGGCATGTCAGCAATCGGTCCGCACAAACAAGCTCCATCCACAGATGCAGGCAGCACACAAAACCATGCCCCCTCCGGTCCACGGAAAAACTTCTCCATGGAACCGGTCCCTGGTGCTCAAAAGGTTGGGGACCTCTGATTTAATATCCTGTCTCTCTCACCCTGTGACTGAAAAGTACTGTATTGTGACCAGCTCAAAAGCGTCACCACTGCAAACTGAGTTGGAGACATACTTGCCCACCATCCTCTTCCATCCACTTTTCTATCTTTTTATGGTACAAAAGGGATGAAAAGTTGAGAGAGACTAGAAAAATCCTGCTATCATGGGGCAGTAGTAGTTAGTAGTGGTAATAGTTAATTTCTATATTAAAGGGTTCTCACATAATCATTCCACCACCGTTAATTGTATGAACATAACTAGTACCACCACAATTTATTTCCATATATCGGTTCTTTTAGCAACTAAAAAAAAAAAAAACTATCAGAGGAAATGTAATAATATGAAACTCTGAACTGGAATTTTCTTTGCAATAGGTCTTGTGGAATAGCCATTAACTCTCATCCTTGCCTAAACAGAAACAAAATACCGGGCAGATACAAGGAATAATTAGATGGTGCATATTTTGAGTATGAAGGGAAAAGCTGATAGCCAGCTAGATTTCAGTAAGCAACTCGATCAACTTTAATTATTCTAAGGGCCTCATATTGATACTATAGCACTGCAAGACACAGTGAACAATGCTGTGAACTGTGAAAAAGACCAAGAAGGATTGCTCAAAATAACATCCCTATTTAAAAGACTTTGGGAGGTTACTCTAAGGATTTTCTTTTTACATACCTGGTTGTGGCTCTGTTGGGGTCATCCTTTCAGTTGCACAACAGAAGTTATCATCTGAATTAGTCTTTTCAAAGCCAGAGGGAGATGTCAAGACAAAGACAGGAGTCTGGCCCTCACTGATTTTTTCATGGTCTTCAGGCTCCTGCAAAGAGCAGCTTTCAGGGCTGCAACTCTGTGTATTCTTCCCTCCACTGCTGGCTGGGGAGAGATTGGCACAGAGGCTGTAGTACTCCATGACGTTGCTTTTGGCCAGCTTGGACTCTAGAATACTCACACCGATTTCTTTTCTGGATTCCTCTTCTGGCTGTGGAAGACCCGGACTGGATAACAGGGGTGGCAGGAGGAAAGGAAAAAAACTTTCTTGTGATGTTCTGCTTTCCTCGTCTCCATCAGCACCAAAAAGCATCTTGTCATTATATGCCAATTTCTGAAGAGCAGAGTTACAAAACTGAAAAATCTCTGGCCTGCTTGCTGAGCATGCTTCTAAGTCATCTTCTTCCAAGGCATCCAGAGAGTCACTTGAGCCACTGGACTTCAGCCCCCTGCTTTCTGTGTTGGCTGAGTCAGACGCTTCCGAAAGGCTATCGTTTATGTTGTAACCATTGCAAAAGCTCATTTCTTTGGCCTCTGGGGTCTTCTTTTCTTGCTCCAGCTCTTGCTCCTCTCCTTTCTCCTCAATTGGGGGGCTAATACTGCTGTACCTAGGTGAATGTGTGTCTGAGAAACGGTCCAAGGAGGAATCTGGCTCAGAAGATTCTTCAGAGTCACTGCAGGTTCTAGATTCATATCCTGCAAACACAGACAGTTTCCTTGGAGTTGCACCTTCCTTCCAACCAAACGTAGAATGCAGTTGAAATAAAAGCTCCCTGAAAAAGGTTCTTAAGATGACTGTACAGCTAAAATATGAAAACAGATTCCTCTGAACATATCCAAAGTACTGTTCTCTGCAGCATCATTTGGATAGCCAAAGGATAAACAGGGACTGTCTCTAAGTGTCAGCCCTTGAGGCTCCATCTCAGTGACTGGAGACTGTGGAGATCTGGATGGGAGAAAGTAGGCTCAGGTTCAACTATAGGAAACCTGAGAATTTGGACTGCATGCAAAATTATGAGAACTGTGCCTTGAACGGTAACTATGATGCTGGTTTATGCACCTGAAATTAGATGAATTTATATTCAAATGTGACAGAAACATCTCCCACATCCTTTCAATGCATCTAAATGACCACTTCCAATGGTGTTCCTAAGAACCCTTTTGCTTTTGCCCATACAAATGAAGGGGCAATAAAGCTGTATGGTGAAGAAATAAATAACAGACTTGAGGCACCAGCGTGCTAAATGCACGCATGGATTTCTAGCAACAGGTGTACTATCGAGCTGGGAAGATTCCTCTCGCTCCTTTGCTTATTTAAGGAAACTTGCTTTTTACCTTCCTCAGCAGAGATCCGGTGCATTCGAGGTTTTCTCTCCTCCCAGATGAATATGGAGCTGCTTGAATCTACAAACATTCTGTAGTAACCACTGATGAGACAAGCCAGATCTTTGGCACAGTTGGACTCCAGCAGCAAAGTGAGTACCTTGTAGGGAAGACAGGAAACATGACGAGCTGAAATGTTCCTGACAGATTAATGTATCAAAATTGATAAGAAATATATTTACCTTTATATCTTGGAGGTAGATCTTCACCATGCTTACTTTGTCGGATTCTTTGATGAGCTCCAGTCTGCTTATGCTGGCAAATTCTGCCAGCACGTTTACGGAGCTGAGTTTGGTATTAAGCACGTGACTGATTCCGTATTTGGCTCCCACCAGCAAGACAATGCATGTCTCTCTGTCCTGTAGCTTCATGAGGGAAAAGCAGCTTATGACCAAGCTTAGAAAGGAATAAACTCCTGCCTATGTATTCAATGGCTACAGTACCTATACAATTTAATTTGGATATGTAAAGAAACCCACACAAATGAAGTAACACAATTTGAACTTTCATATCATTATGTTTAAATACACTCTAGTCTTGAGTAGACATTTCTGATCAGTTCAGAAGTTCTTTTAATAGTATTCTGTAGAAACCCCCCCCCCAGCAAAGAATATATCTCTCTTGCTCTCTGTATAAAATAGAGGCTTATACTTGTGCCGTCTCAACAACGGTTTAGAAATGTTTAACATGTGTGAAATTAATCACCATTAATTCAGAAATATGTAGTTATACAAATAACAGCTTATTATGCGTTATGAATGCAGGCAAAAGTTTACAAAAGCATTACAAAACCTAAATGGGAATCGAACAGCTAACTTTAACATAATTCAGTGTTTTATGAAACTTACTGGCCATCATTTATGCTATACTGTAGAGAGGAAAGCAGGAAATTATCCAGTTATTTCATTTATTAACTCCAGCACTGCATGAGGGAAGCAGGCCTATTTTTTCTATATTACTGATCAATTGAGGAAATTACTATTTTCACATATTTGCTGAACATTTTTGGAATAATAATGATAATAATAATAATAATGATAATGATGATGATAGTAATAATAATAATAATAATAATAATAATAATAATAATAATAATAATGGTTAACAAGGTCCGCACTAGATATTGGAGTTCCTGGATATCTGGTGAAAAATGGGTTACAGGACTCAGGACTGTTGGCTGAGCAACCAGGGCCAGCAGCTGCAGAACTACTGGAAGAAAAGGTGTTTACCCGTCGCAGATACACAGTGATGGAAAACAAAGAAATAATGATCTGTTACTACAGATCAAGTCCAACAAGGCGAGGATATCTAAAACGAATGCACCAATTCTGGAAAGAACAACATCCAGAATCAGAAATAACAGAACAGAGACTAGCAGATCAACGCCGATTTATAACACGAAATAAAGTATTCACAGAAACAGAATTGGACGAACTGCAAAGGTTTACCCAGGGCAAAGAAATCAAAGCCTTACCAGAAGTAATTCAGAATGTAGAGGCAAACCAGGGGGAGTTGGCAGTGAAAGAATCCAGTAGAGATATACAACTGTTCTCATTTGGAAACCAGGCACCTCTTCCTCAGGAAGAACAAAACCCTCTAACTAAAGAAATAAAAGAATTGAAACAAAGAATAACTGAGCATCTAGAACAGCACAAAAACAACAGAATAAGGCTACCTGCATTGAAGCTTGTTCCAAAGAAACAGCTAGCACAAGCATTAAAAGATGCAAATACTGCAATATCAAGTATAAGCACCAATTCACTGCAAGAAACAAACCAACTAATGTACAGCACAGCTGCAGTTATAACAGAATACCTGGGATGCAAAATCAACAAAAAGAAAAACAAACAAACAGTGCACCAGAAAAATGGAAGGTTAGACTAGAAAATAAGATCAGCAAGTTAAGATCACATGCAAGCAAGCTAGAACAGATGAAAGAAAAGAAGCTGAAGAACAAGAAGACCAAAGAATACCTAATCAAGAAATACCACTTAGAAACAAGGAAGATCAAGGAAGCACTGGAAATAATAAAGCAACAAATAACAGCTATAGCCAGGAAAATCAGTAGATATGAAGCTCGAATTGCAAACTATAGGCAGAACCTCCAATTTCAATCCAATCAGAAACGTTTCTACCAATCCATCAATGGAGAAACTGCAAGGAATCAGTCAGTACCTGACAAGGAAGAAACAGTGCAGTTCTGGAAGCAGATATGGGATAACCCAAAGAAATACAACAAGGATGCGGCTTGGTTAAAAGAGGTGGATGCAAATAAAACAGAAGTTGAAATGAAAGAACTAGTAATAACAACAAAAATGGTAGAAAAAAGAGCAAAGAAAATCAAAAATTGGTCAGCACCAGGTGAAGATGAACTGCATGGGTTTTGGTTGAAACATCTAACTGTTATACACCCACTCATTGCCAAGCAGTTCAACAATATACTACAAGGAGGAGAAATTGAAAAGTGGCTAACAACTGGGAAAACCTACCTAATAATGAAAAATCCAGCAAAAGGGGCAACACCAGGTAACTACAGGCCAATTACCTGCTTACCAACAACTTTCAAATTACTAACTGGTGTAGTAGCTGATGCAGTGCAACAGCATCTAGTTGAAAACAATCTCTTTCCACCTGAGCAGAAAGGAAACCGCCCCAATAGCAGAGGAACAAAAGATCAACTCCTAATAGACAAAATGATCTTGGAAAACTGCAAGAGAAGGAAGACCAACCTGAATGTGGCATGGATTGACTACAAAAAGGCATTTGACTCTCTGCCACATGATTGGATAATCAAGTGCCTAGAAATAACAGGAGTAAGTAGAAACATCAGAAAATTTGTGCAAAGATCGATGGCACAATGGAAGACACAGTTGCAGATCAATGGTGAGAAGCTGGGAGAGGTTAATATCAAGAGAGGAATATTTCAAGGAGATTCATTATCACCATTACTATTTGTTATTGCACTGTTTCCTCTGTCAACAATACTGAATAACTCAGGACATGGTTATCAAACATCAAAAACATCTGCTAGACTATCCCACCTCCTTTACATGGATGATCTGAAGCTGTATGGAAAAACATCATCTGAAATAGAATCGCTGCTCAACACTGTCCGTATATATAGCCAAGATATTGTAATGGAGTTTGGCTTGGACAAATGTGCCACACTTACTATCAAACAAGGAAAAATAGTGAAAACTGAAGGAATCAAGATGCCCCACGAAAATAACATTAAGAGTCTGGATGAGGAAGAGTACTACAAATACTTGGGTATCCTTCAAGCTGACAACATCAAGCACACTGAAGTCAAGAAAAAGATTAGAGGTGAATACATCAAGAGAGTGAAGAAGATCTTAAAATCCAAACTCAATGGAGGAAATACCATAAAGGCAATCAACACCTGGGCAATCCCAGTCATTAGGTACACAGCTGGAATAGTGGACTGGACTCAAGCAGAACTAAAAGCAATGGATAGGCAGACCAGAAAAATAATGACAATGAATCATGCCCTTCATCCACGCAGTGACATTGATAGACTTTATCTACCAAGGCAAATAGGTGGGCGTGGAATGCTACAAGTACATCAGATGGTTGAAGAAGAAAAAATGGCTTTGGAAGAATATCTGAAGAACAATGATGAAGATGCACTGAAATTAGTATATCAGGAAGGCTTACTAACTACTGGAGAGACCAAACTGGCCTACAAGAAAGACCAAATGAAGAACAAATAGAGGCATGGGAAGACAAAGCACTACATGGCCAATACATTAAAAAAATAGCTGGGAAAGCAGATAATAATAAAACCTGGCAATGGCTAAGAGCAGGAAAATTGAAGAAAGAAACCGAGGGATTAATTCTGGCTGCACAAGACCAAGCTTTAAGGACAAATGCATACAAAGTCAAAATTGAGAAGACAGCAACAGACAGTAAGTGCCGCCTATGCAAAGAAGCTGAAGAAACAGTGGACCACTTGGTAAGCTGTTGCAAGAAGATTGCACAGACTGATTACAAGCAGCGGCATGACAAAGTAGCAACAATGGTGCATTGGAAGATCTGCAAAAAATATCATTTGCCTGTAAGCAAAAACTGGTGGGATCATAAAATAGAGAAAGTCATAGAAAATGATAAAATTAAACTGCTCTGGGACTTCAGAATTCAAACAGACAAGCACCTGCAACATAACACCCCAGACTTAACAATTGTCGATAAGAAAGACAAAAAAGTCTGGATAGTGGACGTGGCAGTGCCTGGAGACAGCAGAATAGAAGAGAAAGAACTGGAGAAGATAACAAAATACAAAGACCTACAAATAGAAATAGAAAGACTGTGGCAAAAGCAAGCAAGGGTAGTACCAATAGTCATAGGCTCCTTGGGTGCAATCCCAAAACAACTGGAGCACCACTTGAACACCATTGGCATTGACAAATTTGCTATTAGTCAATTGCAAAAGGCGGCCTTATTAGGAACTGCTTCCATCCTGCGACGATACCTATAATACCATCAAACATCTACTTCTGCCTATCCCAGGTCCTGGGTAAGGACTCGATAGGTAGACAAAATGCCAAATCCAGTCTGAACATCTGGCTGACTGTGCGATGATTGATAATAATAATAATAATAATAAAGTTGGAAGGGACCTTGGAGGTCATCTAGTCCAACCCCCTGCTCAGGCAGGAAACCCTATACCATTTCAGACAAATGGTTGTCCAATCTCTTCTTAAAAACTTCCAGTCAGGAGCATTCACTGCTTCTGGAGGCAGGTTGTTCCACTGGTTAATTGTTCTAACTGTCAGGAAGCTCATCTTAATAGACGTGATCAAGCTGTGGGCCCCTCACAATTTGTGGATCTGAGATATGGTCACAGCTTTTAAGGTGACTGGCTAACTAGTTAATTTGGCAGGAGAGTGTCAAGGCTGGTCCTGGGAAGAAAATGGGTGAAAGAGAACAGTGGCTTCATCTCAAGGCCTCAGAGGGTAGGCCTTCTTGGGTTGATCCTATGTGTTATCTATACACCAGGGGTCTTCAAACTTGGCCCTTTTATGACTTGTGGACTTCAACTCCCAGAATTCCTCAGCCAGCATGGCTGGAAGTTGAAGTCCCCAAGTCATAGAAGGGCCAAGTTTGAAGACCCCTGCTGTACACAGATGCACTAATGGAGTAAAGAGTTGAATCCAGAGACTCAAAATATAGGCACGCACAACCTTTTCCCATCGAACAGGCAGCAGCCTGTTTGTCATCTGACTCTACAGGTAGCATCAGACTTCTTTCTGAATGGAAATGAAGAAATGATTATGATAGGTCTATTTATCTTCCAAGAAAAACAGAAATAGTGTCATGCGTGGACCTGACTCCTAGTTTTTCTTCTTTTTCTTCTTCTTTGATTAATTCAGAGTGTAGATATAAACAGCCAGCAGATTGTGCTGGCAGCAGGAAAGGATCAGGTAAAGAAAAGATTGCCTACAGAAATTGTTTTTCCCTCCAACACCCCTTCCTGCATCAGACTGGAGAAATGGAAAAGTAAGAGATTTCAAGTCAGTACTGTAAGCTGCTTGAATAACATGCCTGTGGCTTCCAGCCTCAGACTTCTAGCGCGATCACATTGCTTTCAATGTGTAGAAGATCAAACAGCTTATTCTCTTGTGATCCCTTGTGATTTCCACTTTATGGGAAAAGGGGGAAGGATCAGGCAAAAAAGAGATTGCCTATGGAAATCACTTGGTTTTTTTCCCTCTCATCTGCTCCCCCTGCAGAGCAAGGAGATTGGAAAGGAAGGGGTTTCAAGAGAATAAGTTGTTGATGTAGTGTGCCCATGGCAATCACATTGCTTTTGATGTGTATAAGACATTAGCAAGTACTCAAGCAATACGAAGGGTGAGGAATAGTTGGAAGGCAAACAGAAGCCAAATCTTATCAGTTTTGAGCTGGAAAACATAGTTTGCAGTCATGTAATTTTCCACTTAGCAACTATTTAGCAGCAGTTGCTGGTCCCAATTAGAACTACTTGTATCTACAAGAAAACAGCCAATTTCAGAGAGCACCAAGAACCCAACAGTTCAGCCCTGAACTACATATTTTCTTTTTTATTAGAAATCATAAATTTACCATGAGCGTGGCATTAAAGATTTTTCCTCCATAGAGTTTTAAGTCTCCAAGAATCTGCAGATAACACAATTGCACTTGAGCTGCGGAAAGGAGATTCTGCAATTGTTGAAAAGCAAAGTTAACACAATCAGATCTTTATAATTGGTAAGCCCATGGCCTCTTATGTTCTCATACAGTAAAATTTGGGTACAGTAATAATATGGCAAGCTATTACTACCATGGCATTCTTGGGACAGTAGTGGGGCAAATGTCCCAGTTGTCCACCAGTATTATGGAGCATTTCAGAATCAGAAACATAGGCAATTCTTGTTTACTGACTGTCTTGTTTAGCAACCATTCACAGTTACAATAGTGATGAAAAAGTAATTTTATGACCATTGTTCACGTTTTATGATCTTCACAGGTCAAAAAGCAAACAAAAGCTGAAGTAAGATCGTAAGTTGTAGTTTCACCTAAGGATTGCTTTAGTTAGTGACCAAATTGCTGGTTCCAATTGTGTTCACTAAATAAAGATTACCTTGGGAACTGTCAGTATTTCTGAAGGCATCACAGAGAAATATTCAGCACAAAAATATTGTTTTTCCTTTTAACTAATAAAGTTATCCCAAGCATTGAACAATACAATAAAATATGAGATTAGTTGATTCCTGATGGATAAATACATATTCAAATTACGAATTTAGGCAATTATTCATTATCTTTATCGGTATTCTTCTACTTTTTTACCAACAGTATATGCACATCCCAAAATTCCCCATCACTGTGTTCTTGGAACATAAGTGTTATTATGTGTGGTTGTGTGTACATAAATAAAAATGATCCAGTCATTGACTAAAAAGGGTGATTTGATCTCTCTCTGGTCTGCATTAGAAAAACTACTGAGATAATAAGATGAAGACAGAGTCAAATTCCACTAGAACAGGGGTAGGCAACCTTGGCTCTTTTATGACTCATGGACTTCAACTCCCAGAATTCCTGAGCCAGCCATGCTGAGGGGAAAGGGAGAGGTTTCCAAGCTGAGCTATGTTGGCTCAGCAATTCTGGGAGTTGAAGTCCACAAGTCATAAAAGAGCCAAGGTTGCCTATCCCTGCACTAGAAGGTAACCTTCCCAGATGTCTTAAAGGCACTTTACCTTTTGCCTTGGGTCCAGCAAAAGATGATTCCTCTTCATGTGGACACTGATAGCTTTTTTGATGTCTTTGCCTCTCATGTTTCGGAGTAGAGTTGGGGAAATAAAGTTTTCTATTCCCCAATCCTTCCTGTAGCATTAGAAAAAAAAAGAGAGAGAGGAAAAAGACCTACCCCAACATGATCATCTGGCAGAACTTGGGGTCACCATCCTTTAATTGTTACAAGATGGATTTGGAGTTCAAAACTGCGATGTAGTTTGGGCAATTGCTAGCCTTCAGAACCAGAAGTGACATTGTTCACAACAACAAGCATCCACCAGTAGCGGGCAGCCAAGGAGAGCAAAGGATGCAAACAACTCAACTAAAAGTCCAACTTATATGACAGATCACTTTTGAACCCCTTGGCTTAATGTCTTTTTTTTTAATCCACTGTATTTTCCTTGAGAAGTTTTAAGTAAACTTTACAACTGAATACCTTTTCACTTACTTAATATACTTTAGTGAGACTTTCTGTGGCTGAGCGCAGGTGATCATCCGTTCTTGCATATGCAAGGCGGCCAGCCGTAACGCAACACTGCACTTCATCTCAACAGCAAACCTTTCTTGAAGCACGTCACTACAGCTCTGTAACGAACAGGGCCAGGTTAACAAGGGGAGAGAAGAGACAGATACTTGCACCAGGCTGCTTTAATCTAACCCTGTTATTGTATGAAGTGATTTGTACCGTTAGAACATTTGGCAATTATGTTGGCTGCAAAGCCCAATGTTTAATTAATTTCCTTGGGCCATGTATAATTTGAGACTGGTTCACACATGCACCCTATTTATTTCTTAGCTGGACAGAGAATTTATAACTTCTGTATCTGGAAACACACATTCAGTTTTTATGAAGAGATTGGAGAGTCATTTGTCTGGAAAGTTATCTTCTTACTGAGCAGGGGGTTGGACTAGAAGATCTCCAAGGTCCCTTCTAATTCTGTTATTCTGTGTTCCATCACATACGTTGATATGAGAAATCAAGTGGGACATGACATGCACATGTCAACCCAATCCAGAATTTTGAGCCCACTTTTTCTCTATGTAATTAGGACAGAAAGAAACTGACCAAAAGACTCTTGTGGTATAACTATCTATCTATCTATCTATCTATCTATCTATCTATCTATCTATCTATCTATAGCTAGGTATTTAACGTGTCACATTATAGAATATATAGGTGTGTGTTAGAGACAGATTTATATTTGTTTTCAAACATAACAATATTCTTATTATCTTGCCAGTTGTTGATTTGCTTTCTTTCCTATTTTGACTTAGAGCATTGTGACTTAGATAGCTAAGTAAAGCATGAATAATTCTGGAAACCATAAACTACCCATTACTTCCTACTGGAACATTATGCTAGGCAAACAACACACTAACAAGTACCTACTGTAGGCTGTAAACTGTGATTTGTTTTCATACAGTAAGACAAAACAAGCACATTATAAAGTTGAGTGTAATCTGTGATTGCAGCCTATATGTGTATCTGAGTAGGCGTAATATCTGGACATTTCTATGTAAGCCTCCATCTAGGAACATGTTAGAATATTGTTATCTTTTTTGACAGTAGGGTAGATTGCAGTCACTGCTGATGAATTTCTTGGACTTTTCAATTTGTTGTTTAAAGATTATTTCTGTTTTTCATTCATAAGAACAAGAAATGATACTGAAAATATAGGGTGGAAACAGAATCCAAGGGAAATTGAAGATTGAAGTGAAAACTGTTTAACAAAATTCACAGTATTGATTGTCCCCAGTGAAAGCTAGCTTTCTCTAAGCCTGAGATGCAAATTTTAAATCAGTAAATGACAGTACTAGGTCCTTAATGATATTTTTCTTTTCTTACTGACCTGTTAAATTTGTGAAGCCTCTTTCTACTCTCACAAAGAGATCTGCACTCATGGAAAACCAGAAACAATTATCTTTAAAACTACAGTATCATGTGAATAAATAAATTACTACAGAAACACAAAATACATGCTTCAGCCCTAGTTTACTATCCAATCCTTACCCCATTCTTATTTTTGCACATATATCATATTTGGACACACAATTTGGCCTTTGTTTTTTCCTGTTTGTAATTATAAAATACATGTACAAATTAAAGTCAACATTTCTGAAAAAGATTAATTCTTGAACAGTTCCAAATGTGTTCGAACAATTTGAAAAGTTACCATTAGTGTTGTGCAGTGTAGTATTATACTCATCTGTATTCGCTATGTGAAGACACCAACATTGTTATGGATGAGGAAACTTGTATGATACATCTTGGGTTTGTGTTATTTATTGATGAAACCTAACCAAGCCAGGAAAAGTCCACAAAGCATTCCTATTTCACCTGCAAATAGAGATACTCAAAAGCCACTGGATCTTGCTGCAAGAGATGTAATGGATCCTTGGGTATAAAGCAGACTCTGAAGAGGCATCGATAAGCATGAGATTCATTCCTCTGAACCACCTGAAACGAAGAGATAGATTTGATAGATTCAATAGAATCAATAGATTTGATAGATTAGGTAGATTAGATTAGATTAGATTAGATGATAGAGATAGATAGATAGATAGATAGATAGATAGATAGATAGATAGATAGATAGACAGCTTGTTAGCAAGATGATAGATAAATAGATGATAGCTAGATAGCTAGATAAAGAGTCTATAGCAGACATGTCAAACACAAGGCCCGGGGGCCAGATGCGGCCCGGGAAGTGGTTTCATGTGGCCCGCAAAGCCATCCTGGAAACAGTGAGGGAATGGCCCCCTCTGCCTTGGCCCTGGCCCAGGCTGGCCGGGAGCCAATGTACAATTTTGTGGTGGCCATTTATGCTGAAACGCATTCAGTCTTAGCTCCACAAGGCTGTTTGGAAACAGCGAGGAACCAGCCTCTGCTGTGTCAGCCCCGCCCCCTGGGTGCATGCTGGGGAGGTGTCACCCTTTGTGAGGAATTAAGAAATGGACCATGCCTTAGTGCTTGCCCCGGTCCCACCCCCTTCTGCCAGAGACCCTCAGATCTGTCCCACTCCTGCCCAGGTACCCACAGGCACCCTTGAAGCGAACAATGTAGAGCTGGCCACGTCCACCCAGTAGGCCACACCCACTCCATCCACACTCACCCAGTAGGCTGCACCCACCCTGGCCACACCCACCCGGCCCTCCAAGGGCAACCACAATGCTGATGCGGCCCTCCATGAAATTGAATTTGACACTCCTGGTCTATAGCATATTACCACTATAACAAAAATCCTTCTAATTAAAAACCAGCTTCCAGTGAATATCTGCTAAGATATTTAGATAAAAGTATTAAATACTGTATAGCTGCTTGGAAAAGTGTGGGAAATTTCTAGTGAAGTTCCAGAAGGCAGAGGAATTTCCATTATAAAGTTTTGAGAGATTTATTTATTTATTTATGAGACTTATATACCGCTTTAAGTGCAAGCACTCTCTAAGCGGTGTACACCAGTAAGTAATGTATATATATATTTACATTGCCCCCAACAATCTGGGTCCTCAGTGAGATCAGTGGAATGTGGCTTCAGAATCGTCTTGACCCTCCCCAGATATGGTAGAAGCAGAATAAATTGTGCAGAATTATATATATAATTCTGCACAAATTAATTAATTGCAAATTTGTGCAATCGCCACCATTCCTCCTCCTTGTAACAAAATTACCCAGCAATCACCAATATTTTGGTTTTTATTTTGGCTATGTACACAATTTAGGAAAGCAATCAGATAAAATGAGCATCTGTGATCAAATGGTGAAATGATGGACAGCTGCTCAAACCAGTTCAGCTTCAAAATTCAGATAGACCTGCCAAAGATAGGAAGGGATTTAGGATCACCCAAATCTTTGGGGAAACCTAATCTATGTGGATCTCATCAAAGAAGCTAAAAGGATGGAAAATCCTATCTAAAAATAATCATTCAGTATCTACTATTATAACAAGGCGAATGATTGCCATTCTGGAAGAAAGAATGGAAGAAATGGATCTTGTATGATAATCAGTGTATTATCTTCATTTCAAGATTTATTAGGGAAGCAATTTATATTAAATCCACTTAAGCATGACTTAAGTACAATTCAATGGTACTTTAAAGAAAACAAAGTGGTATTAAGTAAACATTTATGGTCTACCATTTGTACTAAGATTATACAAGTTCTAAGAGGGTGTTTAAAATTTTACTTTGAATAACAAATTTTCAGCTGTTAACACTGTGTTGAAAAGAGTTCATGCAAATAGATTCCAGAGAAACTGATGTTCATATCAGAACAAATCCTTATTACTGCCATAAACCAATAAACAAAAACTGCTATTGTTTCAGTAAGGCTGCTGCTATATAAACAGGTTTACAAGCATGCAATATTCTGAATTAGAGATCTAGTTTTCCATCAGTCATATATTTCGAAGGGATACATATTTCCATTTTGGAAGGTGTGAGACTTCTGGTTCTATTAATGTGACTGATGTATAAGTCCCATTTCTGTTATCACTAGCCATGCTGACCAAGCTGATAGGAGTTGATCATTGGCGTTCATACTCTCCCAATCTATGGATTATGAAGCAGAAAACAAAATGCCAAAGTGAGCAATTCTAACCCCCCTGCACTGGTTAGTATCTCCAGGTGAAAGTTTCATTAATTTGCCCAACACCAACAGAAATGTCCTAAAGCAGTGAAACTCACCCGTTCAATGAGCTCATCATCATGCAGGAGACCCATCTTCAATATATTATGCTGTTCTTCCAAAACCAAGGCAAAATGTTCAATGCTTTGAATGGACAGCTTTTCTTTCAAAGTGAGTATAATATCCTATCATTTATGGGGTTTTAAAAAAAAATCACAATTTCAACAACATGCAGAAATCATCTGGGAACACACAATGATGTCCTTAATCGTTCACAAGGATAATTGTACACGTGGCAAAAGGTGCAGCAGATCTGATCCATGATGGAGAAGCCATTCAAATGCGTAAGAATTCTTTGGCACACAATCTTGGCTAGTGTAGCATACTGACAACAAACCCCATTGTTGACTGCAATGTAATCTGATAACAATTTGAAAAAAGAAATGCCCATATGGATTCGAATCAAAATGGAATACCATCCAGCACAGAGATATAGAGGATTAAGATTTGTACTACTGATTTCCCTGACCGTACGCATTACTATACATTAGAATGTAGTCATAAAATTTGCAATGAAGGGCATTAACAATAGGCTACAATAAAATCTGCTACTTGGCTAAATGTGGATCATGTCCCAACCAAATTTATGAGCGTTAAAAAATAAAGGCAGCATTATGGATGAGGCAAGTTGGCTATTTGATTGCTTTCTTATTCTATTTTTAAGACACTTCAACAAACAAAAATATTAAAATAGGTCAGTGGTGGCAAACCTATGGCATGCGTGCCAGAGGCGGCACTCAGAGCCCTCTCTATGGGTACGCGCGCCATGCCCCGGAGATGGCAACTGTCCCTCTTCAACCAGCCGCCCACTAACTCATTGAGGTCCCCCTTGGCCGGATGCATCCCAGCATGGCTGGTTTCCCTCCCCCCCATCCCCTCCCTCCTGGCCTCGCATGCTCTCCTTTTCATGGGCACGACCCACTGCACTGTCTCCTCAACCGTTGGCTGGTCGTCCAGCTCAGAGACGGCTTCTCTGAACTGCTGGGGGTGGGCTGTGGAGCCCAAGAGTGTGCCGGTCAAGGGGCTGGCAGGCTGTGGCTGTTGATGGACACTGTCGGCCCCCATGCACTCGCTGGCCTCTGTGGGGGGGCCGATGGTGTCAGGCAGAAGTCGCCCCGGCCCCTACCTCGCCTTGCCCTGCGACAATGGCACACCCACCCTGCTTCGCCTTGCCTCGCCTCACCCTGCAGGACGAGCCTCCTGCCCACCACACCTGCCAGAGACCCCCTGGATCTCCCCCAACCCTGCCCAGGCCCCACAGGCATCCCTCCACACGAGCAACATTGAGGTGACCACACCTACTTTGGCCACATCCACCCAGTCTGCCATGACCACCACAGCCACGCCCACCCAGTGGGCCACGCTCACCTGGCACCCGGCGATAAATAAGTGGGTTTTGGGTTGCAGTTTGGGCACTTGGCAGTAAAAGGTTCGCCATCACTGAAATAGGTTGTTTGGTCCATGAGGCTCCAAGAGTTTCCATCATATACCAGATTTGTTACTTTACCTGCTCACAATGCATTTTCCATTATTTTTGTAGATGCTGTAGCAATGTATTCATCTTCTGGTTTTTGTCACTGAGTTTAAAGGGAGTTACATGGGCATCTCTCCTCTTTTATTCAATTTCTATTCATAATACCTCATACAATATAGTGGAGAGTTTGAGAAATATTCACAGGCCCAGCCCTTCAATGGCCACCATTGCCAAGCGAGAGCTCCTAAACCAAAATCTAATCCCTATATTATATTTAAACATACCTTGACTGTTGTGTTTGCTTCAAACTTGAAAGCTTTAGTCTGCCCATTTTCTAAATAGACTTTGAGAACATTGGGCATACACAGAAGAGAACTTCCCTAGATAAACACACAAAAGGCGGCATCCAATTAATAAGTTTGACTCTCAAATTCTGTCTGAAATATACAGCAGTCACTTTACTAAGGAACAAAGGGAGTTCTTAGCAGAAAGTAAACTTTGCTTAATTCTGGGGATTTTCTTACAAGGCTTAATAGGGATTAGGAACATTTACATTTTAAAGAACATCTTGCCCCGTTGAGGCGCTGTTGTATGTTTAGTGTTCAACATTTATTTTACTATCTATAGAGCAAGCTTGCCAGGCAGAGGTTGCAGAACAGGAAATAAATGCTGTTAAGTCAAGAATTAGCCTTCCTGTTGCTTGCCTTTCTGTTGTCTCTCGGGTAGAAGTGAGAGAAATCAAAAGATTAAATTTAATTCTAGGGCTATAAAGCAGCCTCCTTGTGGGGAAGTTAAAGCACTGCCACATGCTTTGGAGATAGCAAAAAGGATAATTCTTTGTGATTTTCAGATTCCAGACATCCTCCCAATATTTCAGAGCTCGTTACCTTACCCAGAATAGAGTTTATTACTTTTTCCTGTTTTATGTGGGCAGAATTCAGTTAATTCAGTCAGTTCTCAAGTCTGCAGCCGTGCTCTGTTTTGCTTGGCAGTGAGGCCAGAGCATTTGGGAAATGTCATTTAAAGGCTCTGAAGAAGGGATATGCCTTGTGAAATAAGAGTTAGGAGGTAATTTTGCAATTCCAAAGGGTTTTTTTTCTCTTTTGCTCAGCATCTTGTATTTTTTTAAGATCTCCAAGGAGGTTCTATTTTAAAAATTCCTTCACAAAGAATAATGAACTTCTCCAGGAATAAGGATTGGTCTTTTAAATGGTGGGGTCCTAATTTAGAAATGTCTTTCCTGGCACTTGAATGGCTGGAGCGAAAACTTTTTTTTTTTTAATTGTCATGAAATTTTAAGGCAGTATCACCTTGCCCTTTAATTTTGGATAGATACAATTAAAACAAAAAGTAAGGAATAGCTCAGTGAAATGAGATTTGGAGTGGGATTTGGTTTTTTTGGGGGGGGGGCGCTATACCTGGTATTCTCAAATGTCGTCTCTAACACCAACTTTCAAAAAAGGCAATAATTCTTTTTATCCTTTTTCTTCAAAGTCCAACTTTCACTTTTGTAGAGTGTCACCAGAAAAAGCATGCCCGGCATGATTCTAATTGTTGAAGGTCTAGACATGTCATAGCATTTGACTATCTTTTACCAAAACCTTTGCTGCTGCTATTCTACCAAATGCTGGTCTGTGTCATATTTCTGGACTGTTGGTTCCTTTACTTTTGACAGTTGATCTTAAAAGGTAGAAACTAGCCAGTGTTTCCATATCTTCTGACTGAAATTCCAGTCCTAAAAGATATCAATGTGTAATTTATTTATCTTTCACTATCATTGAACTTATTCCATGTTCCTGCAATAATTTTGCCTTTGTACCTTTAGATCAGTGGTTCTCAACCTTTTTAATGCCGTGACCCCCCAACCGGTCATAAGTCGAGGACTACTCAACCGGTCGTAAGTCGAGGACTACTCAACTGGTGCAGCACTGTTTGCAGAATGGGACTTTTGGCGGGCTCAGCAGGGCAGAGACAGCCTGGACAATTCCTATTGGCTTTTGAAAGCCAATAGAATTAGATTTTATTCAAGAGAGTCTATTCTATTGGCTTTCAAAAGCCATAGAATAAAAGGGAGTAGCACAGCTAAGGAAAAGGGGGAAAAAAATGGTGGACTGCGTTGTTTGGTGACCCCCGTGAAATGGTCGTTCGACCCCAAATGGGGTCCCGACCCACAGGTTGAGAACCACTGCTTTTGATTTTCTTTGCTTGCACAGCAACTCCATGTGGCAAACACAACGAGCTCTTCCTCAGTAGCCTATTGGGTGCCATTTGACCCAAGAGGCCCATCATTTAATACTATATAATCAATAACTTTATCTTGTCTAGTCATGGGATTTCCTTGGCAAAATATGGAAGTGATTCATCTTTGTTTTCTCCCATACACTATGAATTAATGCAGGTATCCCCTTTCCACATCTTTCTATATTGCTGCTGGCTGATAAAAGTGCTTGCTTGCTTTAGCTGGGCATCTGAGATGACCTTCAACCTTGGTGACCCTGCTGGAGTTATATACTATTCTCCCAGCATTCTTTGCTCATTCCTCCCAGGAAAAACCTCCTTCCCCCCCCCCTCCCATGATGAGGCAGCATAGCAGAATTGAGGGGAGATCATCATTTACATAGCCAGATTCCTCAGATGACCCATGCAGAGGATTGCCACAGGGCAATGTATAAGACTTATCCTGGAAAAGTAAGGTTTAAAAGCATTTCGTCTCATCAACAATTTATGCCTTCAGGCCAACCCTGTGAAAGCACTTCTGGGATTTTTCCAAAAAAATCTTACTTCAGCTGTAATATTCCATTTAAAATTACTACTGTGATAGGCCCTCCTACGAAGGTCGTTGTGCCGATTGGAAAAGTACTGTAAACTATCTGGGAAAGTTATCTTCCTAGAGTGGATGGACTTAGAGAGATCCCTATATAAAAAACAATGCCTATTATTATATATCCATTATAATCATTGACTGAGCTGAAGAAAAAAGGCTAGACCACAAGCAATGTGAGTAGAACTTGGAGATCAAGAGGTCTGGTTTTGCATCCTAATGTAAAATTACTGATTTCACATTTTCCAAGAAACACACAATTGGAACTGCAGTGATATTCATGCAATATTTGAATTTTTCTATGCAGCTTTCAAATTTAAAATATGCATATTAAATGTTTTGAAGAAAAGTGCATTGTATCAGTGGACATGATACATGAAAATGGATTGCATTAAAGAAAAGGACAGATAAAATATGTGAACTAAAAAGATGCTGTGTTTATTACCAGAAGATGCGCACAAAACTGGGCTGGAATGTTTGTGAGGACTTTTAAAACAAAACAAAAAAACTTCAAACTGAGATAAACATAACTGAAAAAAGGGAAACTAAGCAAAAGCAAAATGGAAGGTTTTCTTCATCTCTGCCAGGTATAAACTGTAGCAAAATGTTCACAGGTTTGTAAACAGAAAAGGATTGGGAAAAAAAAAGGATTTTGTTTAATACCCCATGCAGAAATGGGCAACTTGAGCCTCTTGACTATTTCTGAATTCCCAGGAAAGCAGTCAACTTAGCCAATAATATGAGGTTCTGGAAACTATAGTTTAACAAAACTCGGAGGAATGCAGGTGATTCCTACTTTTTAGATTAACAATTTTGCAATTACATTGTTTGTTAATACTCCAGCAGGAGAAATAGTGTACATAAAAATATGTCCACACAGAAAAATTCAAGAGCGGTTACAAAAATTTAAGATGGCCTCTGCAATTGCACAACTGAAATATGCATATAAAAAAAATCCTGAAGATTCATGATCATGGCTACCATTTTGACTTTTTTGACTCTCCCATTGCCTCTGCTATAACCTTATCATTCCATTCCATTTATTTTTCCAAGAATACTAAGGACAATTTGACTTCAGCACATTTACTGAAGTTAACAAGACTTTTCCTTCTAGCAACAAGAGAGATTTTTGTTTATTTTTCAGTGGTAGCCTACTTGGTTCAAATGACCTTGAGCACATGGATCAATCTATCTGACAAAGTGCAAATATATTTAGGTTGGAGGGGATAACAGCTGTGAAAAGGCCAAGTCATCTTTGTTTCATGCTCACTCTCAGCAGTGCAGTTAGCTTAATATGTAATTTGGTCTACTTGTCAAATTTTAAAGCTAACTATTCCATATGGCTTGGCAATAGCGATGGCACAAACCTGATTATGTCCATTCACAGCAACTTCTTCGGCAAAATGGACTTTAACAGGATTTGTTTTTAGCCTGGCTCTTTTTTCCGCTGTAAGAAAGGATGATTTAGGGCCACCCTGAAAAACAATAGCACCGGGTTGGCAAACTATTATACAACACAGTAACAAACTCTGAGATCACTTAACGCCTTCTCACAACAGAAATTGAAACAGAATCACAAGAAGAGTAGGGCCATCAAAAGCTTGCTGGATCAGAGCAAGGCACCATCAAGTACAAAAGGTGGGTAATTTGGAACCTTCCCACCATTTCCTCTTTTTTTTTAAAAAAAAAAAAACCTCCTGAAATAATTTTTTTCTTTTTGCGACCCTATAATCCCTTGCTTTGGGTCAGGGTGACTGAATGGAGCTGAGCGTTTACTGGCCAGATGCCCTTTCTGACACCTATGCAAAGTTCGCAGCAAATATTTTCTCTTTGTGTCCTGATAGAGCAGTGGTTCTCAACCTTTTTAATGCCGCGACCCCCAACCGGTCGTAAGTCGAGGACTACTCAACTGGTGCAGCACCGTTTGCAGAATGGGACTTTTGGCAGGCTCAGCAGGGCAGAGACAGCCTGGACAATTCCTATTGGCTTTTGAAAGCCAATAGAATAAAAGGGAGTAGCACAGCTAAGGAAAATGGCGGACTCTGTTGTTTGGCGACCCCCGTGAAATGGTCGTTCGACCCCAAATGGGGTCCTGACCCACAGGTTGAGAACCACTGTGATAGAGGAACATCTGTTGCTGCCTAGGATTGAACTCTCAACCTTCCGAGTGGGAGGTGAGAGTCTTTGCCTCTAGATCACCATGCCACTCCAACTCCTAGAATATCTATTTTATTTTATTTATTGTTATGACTAATTGCTATCACTGTGATAGTTATTTAATGGCCATCAACACTGCCTTGTAGTAGACAACATTTTACAAGTCAGTGTAATCTGTTTTTTTGTAACTATGTGATGAGTGAAGATGTATATCATTTTCCACCACTCAACTCATTACCAGACCCTGAATTCTTGCATTGTCTTAGTTTGGGGAAAAATACTCTGATTACTGTCAACACTGTGCATCTATCAGTTTCTTTCATGTCTCTTCACTGCAGTGGTTTTCACCACTCTTAAACTAAGCAAACTTGCTTTGATAGGACTATCTGGAAGCAAATTGAACGTTTACTGCATCCCACCACAAATATTGATGAACATATTGTGATGCCAATTTTCAATGTCTTCTTGATTTCTATCATCCCTTAATGCATGCACTTCCTGAGTTAGGGCTGGTGGTAAATTTTTAATTGCAATTAAATATATTAAAAAATCAGGAGAGAAACGCAACATCCCAGAACAATTCAATCTCTGAATTAGCAGATCTAAGAAATAAATGCAAAATGGTTCCCATGCACAGAGAAGTACATCTAGTTCCAAGCAGTTGGTTTCACACATGCCCCAAACAGCTCAGAACTCCTGTCAACACCATACAACCCCCTCCCCCCGACTGAACAGCAAACAGGTTGTTAGTTTACCAACAATTTCATAATAGGTTTGTATTTTATTACCCACAAATGCATTGACCTACTAGTTGTTCTCTTTCCACCAACCAAATATGCTCTAGCTTATGAACTTAATTTTTTTAATACCACCATTCAAGGTTTTCTCTTTCAAACAGTTTCTTCCTTTCTTCTTTTCTCTCCCTTACTTGAAACAGCCTCCCAGAATACTTGCTAGATTACCTCCTACATATGCTACAAATGGCTTCTCAAAATGCCCGTTTTCAGTGAAGAATTTGGCACTTCCGAATTTATTATAACTGAGCCTATAACTAAGACTTCCCATGACTCTTCACCAGCTTGGTTAGTACTTTCTAATTTTCACCATTTTGATTTCTGTAATCTCACCTGGGCCCAAGTTGAGACTGCAAAGAGCAGGGGTCTTCAAACTTGGCCCTTTTATGACTTGTGGACTTCAACTCCCAGAATTCCTCAGCCAGTCCACAAGTCATAAAAGGGCCAAGTTTGAAGACCCCCTGGCAAAGAGTCTCAAGGCAGTGTTATTCTTTGCAAAGCGCTATGCACCCTGATGTGTCCGTTTACCAATAATTTCAAAATAGGTGTATATTTATTACCCACAGATACATCTGGACACAAAGGCAAGATTTAATGCATTGTTTCATGGCATTTTGCAGGCTGAAAGCTCTCAAGTTCTATCTGTAACTTCTTCAGCTGCAAAGAATCTAGACTGGCAGGTTGGAAGCCCTGGAGAATTGTGACTGTCGGGATGGACCAGAGCCAAGCAAGCCTTCTGCAGCCAAGGCAATGCTTGTTTTCCTTTTCAAGGACTAAAAGGGCAGGGTGACAAAGTGATGGCATTACTGAAAACAGCAGCAGCACAATTCCCTGCGTACTCCCTCCCATACTAGGTTGTCTGGACCAGTTTTTTTTTTTTTAAAAAAAAAACTCAAATAAGTTGTTCTTAGTGTGCTTATTCTGCTTCTTAATTTGCTATTTTTTGCTGACCCAAGACACGGAGCCTTTTTGGTGATGGGATCTCACCATGATCTGATGGCACTAAAGAAGCTGCAGTTGCCTGTCCTTGGGGAACAATCCTGGGCAAGATGGTCCAATGGTTTAACTTTCTACAATAGAGCATATTTTTTTTATGTTTGTATGATGGCTCTCAAGTCACTGATTCTTTGACTGGGGACTCCAGCATTATACAGGAGCCCTCAAATTATAGAATACAAATGCCTATAAATGTTAGTTTACAGGCATGTTTAAATAAGGGAAAATTGCTTCTGGAGGGAGGTGTTGAGATGGACTGCAGTTGGTCTTTCCACTTATATTTACCTACTACAAATTAATATTTCCCCTTCCCATGAACAACGCTTCCTGGATGGATTTAAATGCAAACATAAATACATATATTTGGACTTGAGAGAGGCAACATCTAGCCAATCTCATTTGGGCTAGAAACCTAAGCAGAGTCAGGCCTGTGTTTCAAAGATAGACCACTGGGAGGGGGAGAAAAGTTCTGTTGTAGGAGCAAAAATGATATTTTCAGAATTTGCAGATGTAGTGTGATTACAGTGCAGTGTTAAGTATGTTCTTTTATAAGCCACTCAGATTAATGGAGCCAATTGCTATGCATAGGGCAGCAGCATTGAACAATAGCTGGAAGGAATAAAAATTCATTGGATGTATACAAAGAAACTGATTGCAATGCAATCAAATATACACTACCAACATTTCATTGTTACAAGAATCTGAACTGGATTCAGTTTTATGTTTTTAATACAGTAGCTTTATCCAGCTGGGTGGGATTAGCTAACTGATCTTGAGCAATTTCAAAAAGATAAGCAGGATCAGAGCAGATCAGCATTTATACTGGGGACTGCAAGGAAATCCCAAAGCTATAGATTATTAGACAGAGAAATTGAGAATACGTCCTAGAAATTGGTGATTAGAAATCTCGTCAATTTTTTTGTACAGAAGTGAAAAAAAATGAACTTGTGATTTATGACTTTGATGATTACACAGGATAGGTTATAGAAAGAAGAGTATTATGTAACTTGAGATATTAAAATATAATAGTACTTACAACAGCTATGAAGAATATCAGAAGTCTCTTTTCTTTTCTATTTTTCTTTAGCTTTTCTTTTTTTCCCTTTCCTATACTTTTTGCTTTCTCTTTGCTCTCTTTTTCTTACTTTATATCCGATCCATCCATCCATCCATCCATCCATCCATCCATCCATCCATCCATCCATCCATCCATCCATCCATCTATCTATCTATCTATCTATCTATCTATCTATCTATCTATCTATCTATCTATATATATATATATATATATATATATCATCTAAACAAAATAGACATGAAGCCTTTGGAAGCTTTAACTTTGTCATTTGGAAGCTTTATTTTTACTCCAAACGTATTTTGAGGATGATTTGAAGTGGGTCTATAATGCATTGGAAAGCTCATGGCTAAGTATGTCCTATGCCAGGTACCTTTTTTTTTAAAACTTTTTAAATTGCTGTCTACTCCCCAAAATCAAGTCCAGCACTCTATAGACTAACACCACCACATCTGGGTGACAATAGTCCAGTGATGTCAACATGGCTACCCTTTAAACCCTTTAACTCACTTTTATTGGCAAGCATCTCACCATCCTTTCCCAGGATCCCCTAATACAGAGGTCCCCAACCTTTTGGTTACCAGGGACGGGTTTCGTGGAGAAAGGTTTTTCCATGGAACGGAGGGTGTATGGTTTTGTGTGCTGCCTGCATCCCACAGGTGGGGCTTTGCTTGTTTGTGTGGACCGGTTGCTGGCATGCTGTGGCTCGGTCCTGGTCCACGGACCAGGGGTTGGGGACACCCCCTCCCCCGCCCTAATACATCAATTCCCTTATCTGGGCATTATTTCCCACCCATTGTATCTCTAAGATTACCTCCTGGAACTTCGTATTTGTGATCTCATTTGCATACCCATCAGGAGGCCAAACCTTACCCTCCAAGGAGCAACTCAAACATCAGTGGTACATGAGGGCAATTTACCGAGATGCATCGCAGAACTGTAAACTGGAGAGTGCCTTGCGATTCCCTGTTAAGACAATAGAATAAAATAAAAACAACACAGGTTTGAATACACAGGATGGGGAACAAGGAGAACACACTCCTTTTCCTGCTATTTGAAGGCATTGCTACGAATGTCCCAAAATGGCATCATTTTCAATAAGGGTAGTCCTCGACTTACAGCGGTTCATTTAGTGACCGTTCAAAGTTACAACAGCACTGAAAAAAGTGACCCATGACCGTTTTTCACACTTATGACCACTGCAGCATCCCCATGGTCACATGATCAAAATTCAGATGCTTGGCAACTGACTCATAATTACGACAGTTGCAGTGTCCTGGGGTCACGCGATCACCTTTTGCGACCTTCTGACAAGAAAATTCAATGGGCCAGTCAGATTCATTTAACAATGGTGTTACTAACTTAACAACTGCAGTGATTCATTTAACAACTGTGGCAAGAAAGGTTCTAAAAAATTCACTTAACAACTGTCTCGCTTAGCAACAGAAATGTTGGATTCAATTGTGTCCTAAGTTGAGGACTACCTGTGCCTCTAAAGGCAGATAATTTCCAACTTTGCCCTCTTCCCCCAGTCTCCCTCAATTCCATCTACATTTAGCCTGGAAGTAGCTATCAATCTCATACATAATATGGGTTAGAGAAAACATCTTGCCCACTTCCTTCTTTCCCTATACTTTCTGTATTCAGTGGTAGTATTACCATTCACCCGGATGTACATGTTGATAATTTTGCATTAATCATTTGTTGCCCGTTATACAGTCTATTATCAAATTATATCACTTTCCTTTTAATAATACTTTAAACATTCCTCCAGAAATACTTTGGGCTAATACCTTCCTAATCACCTCTTGCCTAAATTTGCCTAAATTAACTTCTTCCTCTCTGATCTCACATTGCTCTACTCACATGTCCAAACCATGCCCTATTCTCATTGCTCTGGTCATATGATAGTAATAATAATGATGATGATGATGATGATGGAAGGGACCTTGGAGGTCATCGAGTCCAACCCCCTGCTCAGGCAGAAAACTCTACACCATTTTGGACAAATGGCTGTCCAGTCTCTTCTTAAAAACTTCCAGTGTTGGAGCATTCACCGCTTCTAGAGGCAGGTTGTTCCACTGGTTAATTGCTATACTATCTTCCTGTTCATACCAGAATTTAGTACAGGTTCTTTGCTCTGACTTTCAGTCTCCTCCACAATCGACCAACCAATTCTTCTCTTTACACAAACCAAATAAGCTCCAGCTTATGAACTTTAGTTATTTCATACCACCATCCAAGGTTCTTCTACTCTTTCAAACAGCTTCATCCTTTCTTCCTTTCTTTCCCTTACTTGAAACCGCCTCCCAGGATATTTGCTAGATAACCATACACGTGCTACAAATGGCTTCTCAAAATGCACGTTTTCAATGAAGAATTTGGCACTAATGTCCTTCCTAATTTATTATAACTGAGCCTGTAGCTAAGTTTTGATTCCCATGCAGTTTCGCCAACTTTGTTAGTGCTTCTAATTTGTACCATTCTGATTTCTGCTATCTCACCTGGGCCGAAGTTGAGCCTGCAAACTGTATCAAAGCAGTGTGGGAAACCTGCCTTGTTACTGTCTGTGAAGTGCTACGCACCCCGATGGCATGCTGCATAAGCAAATACACACATAACGGCCAAACACCAAAAAGAAGAATGGATGTTCCTGTTTTCCTACGATAATTCTGTGTATTTAAAGACAGGCCGGGATCCAAAGAACTGTCAAATTATTTCGGTCAGGTCAGGATGCTTTTAACTTGTTTCTCTTGAATACCATTACTTCCTGTGAAACTGTTACCTCTGGGAGGTAGTTCCAAGAAGAAGGAGTACTAACTCTATGTTTGTTGTAAAAACCCTACATTAACATATTCTTGCAAAACTAAAAAGTATTTCTCCCCTCCTTTCCTTTTACTCTCCAGAAAACCAGGGAGGGTCCCTTCTGAAACATTTCTCACAGCCTCCCTCCCTTGGCGGGCTGAAATACCATTAGCAGGCTGTCTGCAGCTTTCCCTCCTGTCTCCCAATGTTATGGCCACATACCATTACCAAAATACCAAGCATGCTTTTGGATAGCATAACAGCTTCAAAATAGTGTCTGGTTTTCTGGAGTGCTCCAGCTGAAGAAAGTGAAGCTCTCACAAGCTAGCATGCACCCCTGGCATGAAAGTCAGCAGCCGAGTGAAGCTTAGCCATCACCCTTTGCTCTGGGGCAGACTTCCATACTGCACCTTAAAAGAGCAGCTGCTTGTACACCAGTGAGCTCTTCTGCTGCGTTGTTGTTTATTGCAAAGATGTGATCCCCTGGCAAAAGCTTCCCATCAGCAGTGCTGCCTGCAAAACATGAGCCTTGTTAGTGAGATACTTGATACTTCCCGTTTGCAGCATCACCCCAAAACAAACAAATAAATGTGGGCTCATATATATGTGTATGTAAAGAAACTGAAGCCATATAAGATGACCTGGCATTGCTTGCTTACGATTTGGAAATTTGAATCCAAGTTATTGAAAGGATTCTTAATGGCACTGTTCGAAAGGCCCACCCTGCTCTTGTCGGCAGCACTTCCTTTCTAGCAGAAGTAATGGCAGAAAGGATAGTCTCCTTCTCAATATAACCTGCCACAACATTTTGTTGTTCCAAATGCTGTTTTGTTGTCCCCTCCTGACTGATCCAAGGCATTTGAGGGCTGGCAACACCGGGATCTGCTTAGATTGACATCCCAGCAAGATCAAACTACCAGCTTCCCTCTGGCAAGGAACAGGTGAGAAAGCATTGTGCCCAAAGTCCCTATTCTTTCCAAAATTCCAGAGCCTGGACTCAGCCAGTTTTCTCTATCTGGCTATGTATAGCTTGGGATAACATATGTCAGCAATAACATATAGCTTGACAACAACACATGTCAGCGATCAGCAAATTTTTAAGGTATCTTTCTTTTCAAAAGCAGAACATTGTATTTCTCCAGACAATTTCCAGCTCTGCCCTTTTCCTTCAGTCTCCCTCAGTTCCATTTATATTTAGCCTGGAAGTAGCTATCAATCTCATATAATATGTGTTAGAGAAAACATCTTGCCCCTCTCCTTCTTTCCCTAAACTTTCTGTATTCAGTGGCACTATTACATGTATGTTGTACATGTTGGTACTTTTGCATTAATCATTTGATGCCCCCATCTACAGTCTATTATTCAATTACATCACTTTAAACGTTCCTCCAGAAATACTTTGAGCCTGGACTCAGCCAGTTTTCTCTATCTGGCTATGTATAGCTTGGGATAACATATGTCAACGATAACATATAGCTTAACAATAACATATGTCAGCGATCAGCAAATTTTTAAGACATCTTTTTTCCCCCAAAACCAGAGCTTTGTATTTCTCCAGACAATTTCCAACATCAAGAAAATATGAGAAGGGAAAGCTGTTTTCTACCTGCAGCAACTGATGTGATAAATAGGGGGAAATTATGAGAAACTTCAATGCCATAATGTCCAAGTAGAACATCTTTTTGAACTTCCACTGTGAGTTTGACATGACTTGCAGGTTGCTTACTGCCATCTGACAGTGATGTTCTCCCTCTGCAAATTTAAGGTGGAAAAAAACCAGTTAAAAAAAGGTATCCAGTGCTTCCAATTTCCTGAAATCTCAGCATCTGCTTTTGAGATATTTTTACATCAGTGCATACCTAATGAGGAAAATAAAACATATCGTAAGCCAGTAAACAAGAAAGACGCTCTGATGTATATTGTGGGTGGAGTGTTTATTGTCAAACATGTAAAGTGGAAAGAAACAGTCTGATAAATATTTTAAATAGTACTGGGCAGCTCCAGAAAAGATACCCATAAACTGAAAAGTAATATGGATGCTCGGTCTTTGTTCTATATATATTATATATGGAGGGATCTTGACTAATATATGTGAGGGTTGGCCTCAGCTAATCCTGTTATTATTGTCATTTCTGTTTCTCCGTTACTCAATGTTTCTCTGTTTTCTTTTTCTCGGTTCTGAACGTTTGTTACATTATATATCATTGCATCACATTTCTATTCCGTTGTTTTCGTGTTTCTACAAATTGTAAGACAGCAAGAGTGGCTAGGCAGCCCTATGAATCTAACAAATAAATAAATGTAAGCATGCACCTTTAAACCTAGAGGACATATTTAGATTTTACAGTTTAGCTGAATTTTCATATGTTCAGCCAAGAGGCTGTGCATGGACAGCTCTTTGTGCATAAGGTCACTGAGAGTGGAATAGTTACACAATGGAGTGCCTAACCAAGTGGAAAATCCATGTGGATGTGAAGTGAACATGAATAGGCTTGATGTTCTGCTATGGACTAGTGCTGAAACATTGACTTGCTTTGAAGATAACGATTCTACAGTTTGGAACAACTCTGTAAAAATTTGAGCTTCATCTATCTCAGTCAAAAAGGAATTACAGTAAATGTTACCCAGAAATAAACCAAGCTTAAGATAGCATTTACAGTGATCGATAGTGCCTCATAAATCCAAATTAGTGGGCTTGCATCCCGTAGACCAGGACAGGAGCATTGCTGCCTTCATGACATCTATCACAAAAAAGCCACAAGATTTCCAAAGTCACCCCAAAGCAAAGGATTCATATTGGCCATCAGAAAATTGACATTTATATTAAGTCAAAATTAAGGTATTTTGTTTCTAACAGATTTGTCCTGCAGTGCAACAAACAGGGAAATATTTGTCAATGGTTTTCAATGATACTTTCAATGATACTTCCTGAGCACCGCAATGTTCAAAGTTTGGAATGGCATTTGAGCATTTTGTGTTTCAGCAAGCACGATGAAGTGGTCTCTGTAATCCTGAGAAAGTTGGTCTCGGGTTCCTTGGAAGATTACTGAGGATTTTTTCATAGAAAAAGGTGAATAATGCTGCATCAGTTTCCCTCTAGCACATTTTGCCTACTGATTACAGCAGCCTAAAGTCATTCCCTGCAATGCGCATCTGGCAAAAAAAAAAAAATCATTACAGGAGGTTTATTCCAGACCACAAGATGATACTTCATTTTCACAGGTAGCCAGAGGTGGTAAACCTAAATCCAAGCTATTTTTTCCATGCTAAAGTTTTGTTCCACTCTAAATAGATTAAAAAAAAAAAAATTGGCGAGACACAAGAAAAAGTGTTCTAACCTGCCCAAAGTTGTGATGAAAGTCACAACCATACAATCAAAGCCCCACTCCTTTTTCTGTGTATTGCGATGCATGAGTAAGTTGTGACATGTGTGATATAGGCGTGAGTTTTTCTGCAGAGAGAATATCATTCTGCTACCTGACTTTCCCATACGTGCTGAACCGTGTGACTCTGAGAATTGCTTTCAAGACATGGTGGAAGGCTGGTAAATATTAACAAAAGCCCCTAGAATGGCAACGGGGTCACTTTGTTTTACTAAAACCCAAATTTGCAATCCCCCCAACATCTGGAGAAGCTAACAAAGAAAAGAACGATACCCAGAGACTCATAACTGAGTTCTGAATAAAAATATGGTCTGGGAAGCAAACCTTGATGGGAGAATCTGACACACTACCTTCAAATGTGCCTTTGTAAAACAAAAACAAAACAAAGCAAAATCCAACAGCAAGAATAAGCTACTGGTGGCCTGCAAGCTTTTTTTTTGCAGCTCTTTGCCTTGTTTTCTCTCAAGATTGCCCTGTCAATTGTTTAATAATGGCAGAGTTTCCCACCAACTGTTCAGTGAGAAATCAAATCAAAGAGGCGTGTTAAGCCTCCACAGACTCTGGACATGCTTAGCTTAAAAAAAAAAAAAAGGTGGGAAATGCAGTTTAATTTCCATCTTGTCCTCTCTGATCATGCAATTACTTCGCCGCCCTGCTCTTTTCTTGCTGCCAGAAAATAAATAAATGAATAAAAATGTAGCTGCAAAATGGAGGTCAGGAACCCTCGCTCCCTGATGTTTGCTCAAGCATTGCCTGATAAATTCACCATAATAGTTGGCTAGAAAGGGTGTCAATCATCCTAACTCTAAATTTCTTCCTCCCCTCCTGCTTAAATTTGTACATGGTCTTTCTTTCTGCTGTGAAACAATACTACAAATAACTTTCATTTCTGCTTTATTTTCCCCCTTTGGCTTTAATTATTTAAATACTGGTATCCCACATTTGTAGTTAAGGGGTAAGACTTTGACCTGGCACTAGAAGCTAATGCCAACATTGATATGTTTTCTTTGTACCTGGGATGCCACAGAGATCATATTGATATGCTACAACAATTGCCGTCTTGGAACTATCATATACAGAGTACATAGTATAGTCCAAAAGTTTGCTACGGTATTTTATTTGACCTAGGAGATAGGAAAAGGATCAGCCTAAGCAACATAAGCTTTCTTCACTGCAAAATAGCTGAGCTTTGGGTGGCAAGACCAGATCTAGGCAAAACTGAGAAGCTACTTCATGGCATCTCATACACAATGGAAGCACTCTTCCGTTCCATCTAATAATATTATATTAAAATACATACCTGCCTAAATTAATCCGTGATCGACGTAGCCATTTTGCTACCATCCGCTCTATCCTGCGTGCTTTGCGTGTTTCTAGGTCTTCCATTTACCTAAGGCAAGAGAAAAACATTTTATGTATTTATTTACTAAATTTATTGAGTTATTCAGCCAACTCCCAGCAACTATCCTCCTCCTCCTCCTTCTAGAAGCCCTCCAATTTATAGGGCTGGATTAGAGTCTGTCAAATACTCATGCTTAAATTACTTAGAAAAACACATCCAAAATTCTATTAAATAACATAATTTATTAGACATAACAGTGTACTTACGGAGTCATATAGAAAAAAGTCCTCTTGAGTTAATATTCTCAGACAACTTTCCAGCCTAAATACATATGTTTTTCTTAATACTGAAAGCCGAAGGGTGGATGGAATTTTTATTAATTTATTAAAAATAATTTGTATTAGTTTCATCAGATGTGTCTTTTCATCAACAGTTCAGATCTCTGATATATATCTTTGTAGTTAAGTTTAGATAATGCAGAAAACAAGCTTCAAATTATGTTTAAAGTGTTTAAATCCATATTTTAAACAATTTAAACACAATTTGAAGCTTGTTTTCTGCATTATCTAAACTAATTTATATGGGTATAAGGGAAGAACTGGGGCAGAGGCAGGAGGGGTGGGTGGAAACAAATCTTTTTCTAAGAAATATCTCAGCTTAAAGAACCATTATATCTACAAAACATGGGAACTCAACTGCAGTGTTCACATCAGCCTTCCCTAATCTGGTACCATCCAAATGTGTCTTAACTTCAACTTTCATAAATTCTCAGTCAGCATGACATTTGCACAAAAACTTCTGAAAAGTCACCATCATACAGGGAGGACCCTTCATTGGAGAAAATGCATGAATTTATGAAGAACATGGGGTCTGTAATCAGACATTGGGTCTGATTACAGCAGTGGTTCTCAACCTGTGGGTCGGGACCCCATTTGGGGTCGAACGACCATTTCACGGGGGTCGCCAAACAACGCAGTTCGTCATTTTTTTCCCCTTTTCCTTAGCTGTGCTACTCCCTTTTATTCTATTGGCTTTTGAAAGCCAATAGAATAGACTCTCTTGAATAGAGTCTAATTCTATTGGCTTTCAAAAGCCAATAGGAATTGTCCAGGCTGTCTCTGCCCTGCTGAGCCCGCCAAAAGTCCATTCTGCAAACGGTGCTGCACCAGTTGAGTAGTCCTCGACTTACGACCGGTTGAGTAGTCCTCGACTTATGACCGGTTGGGGGGTCACGGCATTAAAAAGGTTGAGAACCACTGGATTACAGTCTATGTCTATTCATTCAATCTTATTGATTCAAACTAGCAAAACCTGTTCAGAGCCTCAGGCAGAAAATGTGTTTTTCAGCCCAACTTCTAATTTGATCAGGGAACTGAAAACACACAGAGCATGTGCTCTTCCATTGATTGGTGTTCCTTAATTCCCTCGGCAGGAGCAATACTTCAGAAAAAGTTCCTGGGATGATGATACAGTCTTGCTCTCCAGCAAACTACCTGCATGGTAATGTTTATCAGCTAGATATCTTTTGGTTCAGATCTCACTTCTGTGTGGTTCCATTGCCTGGTCTTAGGGAGTAGTCAGATGGTTAGAAATAGTCAACTCCTTCTTCCTATTAATACAAAGGTTCCTTTTAATACAAAACTGTCAAAGTGCCTTAGTGCATAATCTACCTTCTGTTTGTCCCTTCCTTACAGAAATCTTTAAAAGGGAGATAATGCATTTATAGAGAGCCTGTTTGGTCTAGTGCAGTGGTCCTCAACTTTTTTATAGCCGCAACCCCGGTCGTAAGTCGAGGACTACCGCCCTGGGAGCGCCGCATATGCGTGGTCTGCCCCCTGCGCCAGCTGAGGCATAGCTGGCAAGGGGCGGTGGCAGGCAGGCCTGGGCGCTCCCCGGCGGCCGTGGTGGCGCAGGGTGACCACCAGCTGAGCCACCAGCTGGCCCAGCCCAAGGCAGGTAAGGGCCCCACGCACGCCAGCAACCCTCCCTGCGCCCGCTAGGCTTACCTTGGCCGCTGCCTGCTTGGGGCGGCGGCAGGCAGGCCCAGGTGCTCCCGGGTGGCCGTGGCAGCAGCGGCAGAGGGCAACCACCGGATGGGCCACCAGCTGGCCCGGCCCAAGGCAGGTAAAACACCTGCCAGGCCCCATGCACACCAGCAACCCTCTCTGCGCCCGCCGCTGCCCCTCTAGGCTTACTTTGGCTGCCGCCCGTTCAGAGCAGCGGCAGGCAGGCCCAGGCGCTCCCGAGCAGCCGCAGCAGCGGCGGCACAGGGAGACCACTGGCTGGGCCACCAACTAAAAAGTAAGTAACTAAAGCAACTAAAAAGTAAATAAAAGAGGGCCAGCAACCCTCCCTGTGCCCACCGGCCTCCCACTTCCCACCCCGGCCCTTTTTTACTTACTTTTTAGTTGCTCAGCAGGGAGGGAAGCTCTGCAGACTGTTCCCCTTGCAGCACCGTTTGCAGACTGGGGCTTTTGGCGGGCTCAGCAGGGCAGAGACAGCCCTGGACAATTCCTATTGGCTTTTGAAAGCCAATAGAATTAGACTCTGTTCAAGAGAGTCTATTCTATTGGCTTTCGAAAGCCAATAGAATAAAAGGGACTAGCAGAGCTAAGGAAAAGGGGAAAAATGGCAGAAAAATGGCGGATCGCGTTGTTTGGCGACCCCCGTGAAATGGTCGTTCGACCCCAAATGGGGTCGCCACCCACAGGTTGAGAACCGCTGGTCTAGTAGTTGAGGTGCCGGAATAGCACTGGGGACACCTGTGTTTTAGTTCTTCTCTTAGTCAGTTGTATGACTTTGGGTCAGTTTGGGTCTTTCTCAGCCATATGAAGAAGGCAATTGTAAACCACTTCCAAAAATACAGCATTGCCAAAAAAACCCTGCAGGATCTTGTCTATTAGCTACTGGGAGTTGAGATTTAGTCTCGCATCTCCAATATATATCACTATATAATAAGTGCATAAGTACAGAGATTACTGAGAAGACAGATGGGAATATTCATTGCTTAATTGAGAATTTCAGGTTAAAGACAATACGGGTCTTTTTAACTCATTATCTTTTCTAAGCCATTTTCAGATTCATTTGTTTAATGTTGTTTATTACTATTTAATGTATTTACACAAAGCCAGTTTGGTGTTGTGGTTAAGGAATCAGGATAGAAACCAGGAGACTGTAAGTTCTAGTACTGCAATGGTCACAAAGCCACACACACACACACAAACACACACATCTTTAAAAAGCCATTTTGATATAGTGGTTAAGGCATCAGGGTAGAAACTAGGAGACCATGACTTCTATTCTATAGCTGGGTGACCTTGGGTTGGTCAGTCTTGGAAGGAAGGAAAACAATGGCAAACCACTTCGGAAAAACCTACCAAGAAAATTGCAGAGACTTATCCAGGCAGTCTCTGAGAATTAGACCCGACTGAACGTGTGTGTATGTGTGTATTTCTATAGAAAGGCAGCTATTTAACATTAAATTGCTATCTTGTGGGAAGAGAATAAATTTGTACCTAATCAATATTTTTTATATTATACATATACAATAGAAAATGCAAAAACCACAACTCTTCTACCCATTTCAGTTCACATTTTATGGGAGGAAGGTAGCCTAATAAGTACAGTACTTTGAAATTCCATCAGTCCACCAAATTGTATTGAATGCACTAGAACAGTGGTTCTCAACCTTTCTAATGCCGCGACCCCATAATATAGTTCCCCATGTTGTGGTGACCCCCAACCACTTATACATCACCGGGTGCCAGGGGCGTAGCCAAAGAAAAGGGGGGGAAAATGGTGGACAGCCTTGTTTGGCGACCCCCGTGAAATGGTCGTTCGACCCCAAATGGGGTCCCGACCCACAGGTTGAGAACCACTGCACTAGAAAGAATACCAATCCAGAAGGTTTACTGCAACAAAGATACCACCTTCAATAGAGATTAGGCATTTTGTGAAGCCAGCCTATATATTCCATTGAAATAATAAAAAGCACAACTGTTTTAGATCAATGTTGAATCAGACAGTTAAAAGCTGCTGCCTAGCATCCTTTGATAATAACCCTTCTAAGTATAGTTTAATCCTGTCTAGGAGTCTCAACCCTTGAATTTTAGGCTTCAGATCTCAGATCGGTGATGGCATCACATCTGAAAGCAACCCAGACATAGCTGTTCCTTCTCCATCTGGAAGAAGGTGGTTTTCTGAGTTCACCATATATGCCACAACACAGCTCTTTTAAGTTCCCAGCAAGTTCATTTGTAGCTCTAAGCAAAGAGTTTTAAAAGTACTACTTGGACATTTGTACAGACGTTTCATGAAAGTGAAAGTTTTGCAGAGAACAAAAACATAGTGGCAAATGATCGTGGGACAAAATGTCTGCTCTCTTTCTCCGTAAATATTATATTCATCAAATCTTTTTTTCTGGAAAAGGTGAATAGCATTCTTTCTAGGATGCTTTGCAAAAGAGAACTAATGCAGGGTTAATGCCAATTCTCTCTCTGTTTCTAACTCCCTCTCCCCTCCCCCAATCCAGGACATAATGGCATGGAAACAACGCAACTGCTGCTTTGGAAACTCTAATTAGAAAAGTTGGCTGAATGGAGAATAGTTTAAAAATGCTAGTCATGACCTTGCCCAAAAAAAAAAAAAAGCTGTCATTAAGAAAGCAGAAAAGACAACATTCAAGTCTGATTCAGAGAGCTCATTTCACCAAAACACTATTTTCTAAAATCCCATTGAAGTAGATGGGTGTTTAGCCATATTTTCACTCAACAAGTCATCAGGAACCAAGGTGGATGCCTGCCCAAAAATGACTCCGCTGACAGAATAGTGGCAATGCCTCTAAGACAGTCTTTATTCACTAGGTGTACTACAGACATGTTCCCGTAATCCTCTTGCCAGTGCTGCCAATACCCGTTTTAGATCTTATTTCTAATAAATTATATTATTTAATAAACATTCTGGTCTTGGTCGTACCACCATTTGGAACAAGAATGGTAAGCATGATGGACAGGGTCCTTCAATAAAATGCATCGGTATCCATGGTTTCA